ATTCGTCAAGTCAAAACGTTGACTTGTTATTTGAACGTAAATCTTTCTTAGCGATATCTTTTTTAAACAAAATCCTTTTCCAATTATTCTATAAATTTATATGTTTACATAAATTATTTATTACTTTCTACTTGTCTATATATCAGTGAGTTTAAAAGAGGTCTCCAGTTTAATGTCAATAAATGGCAGCTTCTTTAAAAACCCAAGAAAATGGACATCAAAGAAGCAGAAGTGTCTGTTTAAAACTCTCCTTTGCTCTACCATTAAGGGTAACATGATATTAAAAATTAACACACTACGTGAAACAAATTCTAAAACGAGTTAATAAATTAGTACAAAAGCATTTTTCATAGTTTGTCGTAGCGTGGAGCGCAGGTAGCGGTGTACGTTACGAAACTGTTCGCCGCAACGAATATCATATGTTTGTGGCACTCTATTAGTCATCGCCGGGCGGGTAATCTCATCAATCATTCGCCGGGGCTCTGTGTAAGTGTTAATAATCGCCGTCGCTATTGTTTATTATTTAGAGAGCACTACACATATCGCAATTGCGACACCTACATTACTCTTAATCAAGTATTACTTTTTATGATGGCAACACACGTTTTGTTGGTGTTGCCAGTAATGTTTGAAGTATTCTGTTATGTTTTTCCCCGACTGAAGGAAGTTTTTCCACATTTAGGTATGTAGCGTATTACCAAACAATAACTGTTAAAATAGTCTGAATCCTTTTATTTTATTTACTTTAGTTGTCTGTTACTATAAATAATGGGCAACTCAATTTGGGGAAGTAAATAGGTTCGCATGTAATAAAGGTATATAAGTAAGTGAGCAACAAAACGCACTTTATCAGGTGGCAGCCGCTTTATCTCGCTAATGACCAACCCCTCCGCAGTAATAAAAGTCGATATCAGCCGCCGAACTTAACGCTACGGTTTAACCTTCTTGGTACTTATACTTTTTTATTTTGTTTTATTTCATGAAATAAAAAATCCTTTATGTCAACCTTCAAATAATAATACTTTCAGGAATTTTAAGTGCTCTTGCGTTAAGATTAGAAAGCAAAGACATGTAGAGTTATAGATTTTACAAAGTTATGTGAAAGTAGTTTTTATTATGAAATGGTAACCTTTAATTTTTTACTTCCTCTAATTAAATCGAAGTTTAGAGCGGAATAGGTGTTATTTTTGAGACGTTATTTGTAAAGTATCAAGACTATAATGTCGAAGTTTGTGTTCAGCGAAGCGCGGCTGAGAATTAGCGGCGGCGGGAAAGAAAAATGATTGTGACAGTCCGGCGAACAGCGCTAATGGAGTCTGCGTCTGCGAAACGTTGCCATTTACACAAACGCTACAATTTGAACGCGCCCTTATTACATTCTCTACCCATTTATGATAATATAATTTGAATTGACAACTTTTTTGCGGTGAATTAGAAAAATTTATTATGTTATTGTATATTTAAAAAATTAAGATAATTTCAATTTTTTGTTTCCGGAACTTTAAGATTACCGTTTATTAACGTTAAAATCTATAAATGTTTCTTATTAAAACGACTTATGGCCGGTTCCCCGACTACTTTTAACCATTCGTTAGTATTTCTGGTTCGATAACTTAATAAAATGCGTTTCCGAATTACGTAACTTGAGTTACTTTGAAACTTTAATAAACCTAACACAATTGAATAAAATAAATGGAAACTTCAGCAACATAGCATTAATAATAAATCTTAAACTACGTATAATAATGTTACATGATACATCAGAATAACTAATATTCATTTATATTAAATTATTAAAAAATTAACAATCTCTGCAACTGATATGTCTTTACTCTCAAGAGTAAAGAGACACGTATCGAGCAAAATTTAAATCGGCATCACAATACGCGAGGGTAATTCGAAACAAGTTACAAAGCTCAGAGCAATAACAGAGCCCCACCCTACCAATACCTCGCTACTCCCCTCACAAATTAAGTGTAAAACAAACCTAATGAAATTTAAATATCTCTCCCGACGCTCGTAATAACTGCACAAATAAAATCATTCCGTGGGGAGAGTAATCGCATCTATTGTGTATACGAGAAATATACCGAAAAGATGCAACCATGTCAAAGTAACATTGTACTCGTAACATTCGTTGCTTCGAAGAAACTTGTGGATAAATTACTTAGACAAAGTAACAAGATAATAAATAAGATTAGGGGGTGGAATGGTCTTAGTAGGTAGTGACGGAGTGATTGGCCAACCTCTTATTGTTAGCTTGTTAGGGAATTATGTGGGTAATACGTTTTGGTGGTTGTGATGCTTGTGTAAATCTGACGGGGTTGGAAAACCGTAATTTGCATCATACTACGAATACGAACATATTTGTAAGTATATTTATTGTATAATCTTTATCTATCTGTACAAGTAATAAAATTGGAGTGTCTGTGTGTAATATCAAAAGACAAACTCCAGATTTCGGGAAGGTGATGAAAATCGCATTTAAATTCTTTTGTCTGTCTGTCCGCAAGCCGCGTTTGTTCTAGATAATCTCCGAAAAGGCTGAACCGATTGCGATCGGACTTTTACTAAAAGGTAGCTGACATAGACGGGCATATTATAGGCTACTTTTTTATCTTAATATTGCGTTGACGAAGTCGCAAACAACAGCGAGTTCCTGATAAAACCGCTGTTTAAAAATAATTATGTAATATTAATTCCACTTGATCACGAAAAATGTCTTGTTCTTAAACCTAACAGACTGAATTACAATTATTCAAACAGATTGAATCGTATTCAAATGAATTTCTTTTAAAACACGTTCCTTTTCTCAAAGGGGACGGGGACACTGATTTCCTTTCCAGTTTAAAAAAGAATCTTCCCCTGAAGAAGTGTAAAAAAGTTACAATCGAAAAGGAAATTTGCGTTTTAAATCCTCTAATGAAGCCGAGAACTTTGTAATGGAGGGTTGAAAGACTGCGAACGAATCGAGCACAATCCCCCGACGCCGTACCTACGTCCAATCAAATTACCTGTGATCAATTTAAAATAAAAATACCTTAATTTCAGTTTATTTAACTCATCTATTGTTAAAGAAATAACTGATTTTTGTAGCCCTGCAGTTTTTTACAGCACATTAAGCTATACAATATATTTTAGAAAAGTAAGATTGTCTTAACCCATAGTAGAAACTAAAACCAATCTTCTTACTAATGTTACAAGTGCGAAAGTTTAGATGGATGGATGGATTTTAGAGTTTGTAGTCTAAACTGTTGAACAGATTTCGATGAAAATTGGCATAGATGTAGAACATAGTCTGGAAGAACACATAGGCTACTCACTTTTGTTTTTTTAATTCCAGGCGGACGGAGTCGCGGGCGAAAGCTAGTTATTTGAATATTTTATTACCAAAGCGATAGTTGAATAATTCGCCGCATGAGAACGAAGTATCACTTTTGTTTCAAAATGATATTGCTAGTGCCATCTAGCGTTAAAATTGGGAAACAAAAATATTTTCTTTATATGGTTCATAGCAACTGGTATACGTAATGTCGGTAAAAAGCAGAAATGAAACAAATAACTTGAGTAAAAAATTTATTGATATAAATATTACATTTATTTCCATACAACCATAGCATAGATATAACGAACCTTACTTTAATTATAGAATAAAATTAATTATCCCATAATTCAAGTGCTAAGTATAAGCAAACTTTGATTATTTATTAATTTTAAATGTCTGTATCCCAGCTATTAGTTTAAACAACTCAATAAAAGAGGACCTAGCAATGAGAAAAGTATTCGTAACGTCATCGACAGTGTGTAGCGGGCGTATACCAAAAATAAAAGTTTTGTCGATGAAAAATACTTTCTCCCAAATTTTCATGTTAGGTCCCCTGTAATTACGTTTCGATAAAAGTGATTACACATTTTTTTACTTATGAACATTTTAATTGATGTACGATATTGGACGGTAGCTTCACATTCCAAGAGTCATGTACACTACATTGTACACTCATAGTAGATGTTATATGAAATTATTGCTTCCTATAAGATTTTGTGAAAAATGTTTTCATTTTATTCAGTCTATGAGTTATCCATCGATCCATGAAGATTTAAGTCTAATGAACTACTCGTTATATAGAGAAAAATTTATTATATTACGTTGACATAATTTTTATTATAGTGAAGAGTAAATAAATAAAGCTTTGCCTGTTTACTTTTTTTTAATAATTCAGGATGAAACAATTGTTACATTAGTAATCTAGTTTTTATTTATTTTCTATCTATATTCAAAATAAAATACATTTTTAGTGATACTAGCTAATTATAAATAGCACGAGTATAGAGAATATAGGTAGATAATAATTAAATGTATTAATTGTGCCACGAAATATTTTATGACATACATAATTAAAAACTGAATATAAAGTATGGAACAGTAAAATATTTTTAAAGAAGACAAAATTTAAGTATCTTTGCATAATAACCATTGTGAAATTAAACAGGATTTAAACAATTTTCAGTGCAATTGTATAAAAAATACGGGGTGTCTAAACATACAAACAGCATAAGAAAAACATAATTTTTTTACAAAATTTTATTTAGATTCATGTTCCGTTACAAAGACAAATTTTGACCTATCTATACATTCTTTATTAAATATCATCGAATTATATAAATACAAAAATTGTTTAAAACCATTCAAATACGTTCCATCACGTTCTAGAAAACTTTTGACATAAATTCCAGTTGAAAACAACCGCACGTTATTGGTCTCTTAAGGCATCTCTGAGTATAGTTTTAATCAACACTTTGGGGACTGATTAAATCAATAAACTACAAATGATATATTACATTATTTGGTGATATTTGTTGATTTTATATTCTCGTATGTTTATGATCCATGTGATATTTGTTCTATTGTAGAACAGCCGCGTTAGCAATGATCGAAGGAGAATTAATAGTTTCTCCCAAACTCTCCAGAAGTTCCTTCCTATAGTCATCGAAATCTCCGTCCACCTGTACATCAAATAATTAATTTATTAAAAGAAGTCTTTAATATGTAAAGGTTTATAGCACAAAATATCCGACTCGGAAGACAAGTTAAACTAAATTATGTTAGCTCCTTTAATGTCATTTTCATATTCATATAGCTTTTTAATATTGTCTGATATAACCGGCACAGCACTTCTACCGGCCCATGTTTTCACATCTGGCTTCAACTCTGGTAAACTAAATTGTTTGGTTATACAAAAGATGGCGCTGTTACTAAATATGTTATTCGGTTTTTTATAGCAATTACTAACTTACTAATTATGTCATTTGCTTTTAGGTAAATCATACTAATATTATAAATGCGTAAGTTTAGATGGATGTTAGAGTTTGTAGTGTAAACGGCTGAACGGATTTCGATGAAATTTGGTAAAGATAGATAGTCTGGAAGAACACATTGGCTACTTTGGCAAGCGGAGTCGCGGGCGAAAGCTAGTAATTTATAATAAATAATTAAATGCATAATGTGTATTACCTCGTTGATAGTCTGGTCCTCGATGACGTAGAGCGCGCACTCCGTCTCGCGGATGAGGCGCTCGTCGTGCGACACGATGACGACGCCGCCCTTGTACAGGTTGATGGCCTCCGCCAGCGCGTCGATACTCTCGATGTCAAGGTTGTTCGTCGGCTCGTCCTATATGCAAAATTATATTAAACTACAAAATTTTGTTTAGCAATGATGGAAATGTAATGTTTGTATAGCAACATTGATTGGCTAAAGTGCCCTGTAAACGATTTAAAGTTCAAAAGTTTGCATCAAATAGAACCTCTTTAGACTCTTTTCCGTCCGTTCCGTCAATATCGAATATATTTATCGATTTTACAAGTGAGACAATGATATTAAAGAATTACTATTATACATGACTACCTAAGAAATAAGAGTAAATTTAAAAGAATAAAATCCTGTTGTAGCTAAATTAGGACAATAAAAAAAAGTATTACCTATTCGATTAGAAATAAAAAAGTCATATAAAGAAAGTGATGGTGAATGTTACCAATATAACGACATCTGGCGCCATGAGGGTGAGCTCGGCGAGGGCGACCCTCGCCTTCTGTCCGCCGCTGAGGTCCTTCATCTTGATGGTGTGCGCGTGCCCCGCCAGCCCGAACGTGCCCAGCGCCTTGCGCGCCTTCTCGTACTGCAGCCCGAACAGCCGCTGCAGGTACTCCACCGGCGACTCCTCGGCCGTCAGGTGCTCGCCGGAGTGCTGGTCGAAGCGGCCTATCCTCTGCACAAACGTCACTTACATTAGAAACGATAGATGTCACTGCACTCCAAAACGGCAATATAACCTGGAAGAAAATACAAGCTAGGGGTGGCAATCATTAGACATAGACCGAAGAAAGTTTAGATGAATTGTCTGAAAGAGGATATGCTTAAGAAAGGAGTGAATTCAAATATGACGGCTGATAGAGATGTATGGAAGAGCAGCACATACTATACCGACCCTCCGTAAGGGATAAAAGTAAGTAGATGATGATGATGGGTGGCAATCATTATTTTCTCTTTATCTCTTATAGAGATTTTACTTCCTTAGAACATGTCAGTCCCATAATACCTTAAACTAAATACCTAAACCGAATCATTTTTGCATCAAAGTGCCATTTGTTTACAGAAATTTTTAATTCGGTCTTCGTGCCATGGAATAATTTTGATTGTGATTATTGCGTCAACACCATGGTGCTCCTACTTCATTTTATTCGTAGTTTTTGTATGATCATCAACGCGCCCAAAGTATTATTTAGTGTCATTTATTACACGCTTTTCACTGGTGCGTCAACCCTGATATAGACTATGTTCACCTATAACACTAGATGGCGCTTTTATAAATTTCTTACAATCAATGCGGTCGCAGCTGCTTTGTAATCTGGCATCGAGACTACAAAATTAACTAATGTGGAAGTTAAGTCGAAATTCCATTTTATTTAAATTGGAACAAATTACCATACCGGCTACTGACTATTTTTTAGTACCTCGCGGACAGTCATTGGAAAAAGCTAATAAGTATTACAAAACTATTTTCACAAATAAAAAAATCGACTATTTTCTACGCTTAGAAATATGAGTAGAATATTACTATAAAAAGGAATGATTATACTAACCAATCTATGATTCCTGATCAATTCCCCTCGAATGGGACTCAGTTCTCCCACCAGAAGTTTGAGGAATGTGGACTTGCCGACTCCGTTGGGGCCGACGATGGCGATACGAGAGTTCAGATCTATGCCGAAGTCCACGTCTATGAACAGCGGCTTCTGACCAGAGAAGTTGAAGTTCACATCTGTAAAAATAGTCCAGTAAATACAATAATTCCGTAAATTGAATACAGTATATTGATCCATTCATCATCTACGATTACATTTGAACAAAAACAAAGTTAAATAACTTCTTAATAAACTTAATTTAAATTGAATTACGTTATCCGATCAGAGTCAAAAGTCCGACTTATTTGAAAACTAACACAGAGTTTACATATTTGAAAACTGACAGGTCCTACTTATTTGAAAACTGACTACTTATTGAAAAACTCCCACAGATAACACCTAATTATTTGAATACTAGGATAGATTTGAAGAATATAAAAGCATAACTGACTGTGCAGTCCGAGGATGGGCGGCTGCAGCGGCGGCGGGTCGGGGAAGTTGAACTTGACCACGTACTCCTTGGGCCGCTGCAGCAGCGTCACCGGCGCCGCGCCCTCCTCCGCCTCCTCGCGCTGGCTCTTGCTCCTGTTCTTCTCCTGCTTACGTGTTAGCACTTCTTTCTGTTTCTTCTCCTGTTCACGGTTGGTTTTTTTTAATTATTTATTGTTTACAGATAAAGATCCAATCTTAAAGTTAATATATCATACTATTTATTATCATATTATTATAAATGTGAAAGTTTAGATGGATGGATGTTTGATAGAGTTTGTAGCCTAAACTGCTGAACAAATCTGAATGAAAGTTGGCATAGATGTAAATGTAGTGGAAGAACACATTGGGTACTTGGCTTTGTTTTTTTTTTCCCGCGCGGACGGATACGCGGGCGAAAGCTAGTTATTTATAAATTATTAATGAAGTTTTTACAGACTAAAATTGTATCTGCACAGTTGCGAAAATTTCGTACCCATGTCAGTAATATCCCTGACAAATCAATAACCATGATTTTTTTTAATATTAATGGATTTTTGTTAATTTACTAATATTTCCTTTTACCATTCCAACTAAGCTCTAGGCTTGTGCTAGGATATGGTTCACGACAATAGTCGAATATTGGTTTGAAAATTGATTTATCATATTCGATTCTATATGGATTGTTTCATTATTATCAAAAAATCTATAACAAATTGAACTTACAGCCTGCTTCTTCGATTGTCCGTGTGATTTCATCTCTTTCAATCTTTTTTCCTGCTTCTCGTACTCTTTGATCATTTCCTTACGTTTCTGTGCGTACATCTTCTTGAACATTGAGTAATTTCCCTTGTAATAGAACAACTTCTGTTGATCCAGATGTATGATCTCGTTACATACATTATCCAAGAAAGATTGGTCGTGAGATACAACCAATAATGTCTTCTTCCAACCTTGTAAGTAACTAAAAGTAACATGAAGAATAAATTAGATTGCTAAAATAAACAGCTTTTTAATAAAAATGTCAATATAACCTCGACAATACCACAATAATAGTATTTTTTTTTTATTTTACTTCATACACCAGTAACCAGAAATATTTAAAAAATAACATTTACTCACTTATCCAACCAAATGACAGCATTAAGATCTAAATGGTTTGTAGGTTCGTCCAACAACAGCAATGTTGGCTCAATATACAGAGCTCTGGAAACATAATTATGTAGTTAATACTTTTAAGCAATTTTAATCAATTCAAATATTAGGATAACAATTTTCGCGTCAATCTATACTAATATTATAAAGAGGAAAGATTTGTATTTTTGTATGTATGGAAATAACTCAAAAACTACTGGGCCGATTTTAAAACTTCTTTCACCATCTTCAGTGTGCGAAGGTTTGGATGGAGGGATGAGTGGATTCTACTGCCTATCTCCAAATTACTAAACGAGTCTCTATAAAATTAGGCACAAATGTTCATCCTGTGTTCACATAAGCTACTTACTTACTAAGTATTATTATTAATTCCGCGACAAACTCGCGGGCAAAAGCTAGTCGTTCATAAAATTAGCAAATGTGCGAACAAACGCGGTTTCTGAGCTATTAGAGACGTATATATATGATAAATCATAGCCGTGTCTTAAGAATTGTGTCGTTTCTTCGTATACCTGGCGAGCGAGACCCTCATTCGCCATCCTCCGGAGAAGTTCTTGGTGGCGCGATCCTGCATCTCCTTGCTGAAGCCCAGACCGGCGAGGATGCGGCGCGCGCGGGGCTCCGCCGCGTCCGCGCCTATCGCCTTCAGCTCCGCGTACACCTACCACACACGTACGTACATACATAACGCGAAGTAGTTAAAAGAAGATTGCAAGCAGAAAAGAGCATAATTGCTAAGACCACGCCCACGAAGTATTACTAGACGGTAGTTCCGTAGGGGTCCATAGAGAGGTTACTAATAAGCCTGACATATCTGATAGTGTCCAAAGGCATTTTTTTCTCCATAAAAAAGCATAAAACGTCATCTTCCTGATTCCAAGCGCAATACATATATTTTATCAGCTGTCATATTTAGCTTACAATTTAGTAACATTTGCATACAACCGGTTACCCATTACCCTAAACATATATTTTAGTAACTATTGTTATCTCTAATTTTAATGAGAAAGAGGGATAGCACTAAACAAAAACAATACTTATAAAAATATCTTACCTCATTAAGTCTATCTTGTTTACTCAGATTTCCTTTCTCTGTCTCAGCTTCTAACTCTTTGCATTCCTTTAATAGTTCTGTAAAAATAAATTAAACCAGGTAGTGAAAACAATAAAAAAAAACTATGATAACAATTTCAGAAATAACAACAGAAAAATCAGCAAAAATTTATTATTCTTTTTCTTTCTACCCACCAGACACAAACAAAAAAAGAGAAGAAACTCAATTTGCTTGTGTAACATGTTATCAAACATTTACAAAATTATAATAAACTAAACATTGTCACTAAATAAAATAATTTTAATATGACTTATTCACATATTTACAATTCATTTAAATACAATTACATTGACATGTGTTCAGGACCTAACAATAGATGTTAGTGCATATGACAAATGTCTCAAGAGAAGTGTCAACTGAGCTTCCTGTGTATATTTTTTAACTCTTTTTATCATACATACCAGTTCTTTTAACATCAGACTCCAGTAAAGTGTCCACAGCACTCATGTCGCTAGCGGTGACCTCCTGTTCGCAGAGCAGTATGTCGATGTGCGGCGGCAGTGGGAACGCGCGCTGCGACAAGTGTCGCAACAAGGTGGTCTTGCCGTGGCCGTTGGGGCCGACCAGACCGTACCGACGGCCGTTTGCTATCAATAAATTAGCATTCACAAACAGATCTTTGCCTTTAGCGCTTATTGAAAAGTTCTCCACTTTTATATCTACTGCGTTTTCTAAAGCTGCCATTTGACCTGAGGAAAATCAATTAAGTATTATTTACAAATTATTAATTATATAAAAAAATGTATAAAATTCAAACTATTTTATTAGCTTATAACAAAATAGAGACAGATTAAATTGTTAATTGGTTACTAAATAATCCCTTAGCATAGATATACAATCTAAAATCTACACTAAAGAACACCCAAATCTCAAATCAATAATGACTGAGGGTTATTTTAATAAACCTGTGATATTGCCATTTTATGGTATAAAAATAAAAAACTATAAGGTCTTGTACAATAATATTAAAGTGTTAAAACACTCACCTGCAGTTTTCTGCGCTTGACTCACAGTAAAGTTGGCATCTAAGTCGCTGTGCCCCTGTCCACCCTTCTTTGTCAACATCTCCATCTGCTTCTCATACTCCTGTTGCTTCTTAAGCTTCTTCTTCTCTTTGTGACTCATTTTCTTTTCAACCTCTACAGTCTCTTGTTGTCCTTTCTCTTCCTGTTATAATGTTGATTTATAAAAAAAAAACAGATTAAATTTAAGACAAAATTTAAGGGTTTTGCCTAAATCATCTGTTATCACAAAGATTTTTAAATAAATGAGTAATTGACTTCCAGTGTTTAGATGGTTTTAAATCACACAACACAGAAAAAACTGTTAAAACATAATTTTGGATTGTAAATTTCTAACTTCACCTTTTCCTCTACAATTTCTTCTTCAGGTTCTGGATCCTTCATTTCGAACTTCTTTAATTCTTCTTCAATGTCGTCTATATTGTTCTTCTTTTTATTTTTATCTAAAATTACAAGCATTAATGTTTCAGAATTGAATTTGCATATAATTAATTTCTTAAATATTATTATTTTTATTAGTAAAAAAGAAACTTTACTTCTTACTTTTACTCTTTGACGCTGGTTTAATTATTTGTTCTTCATCTGATGGTATGATCTTCTTATCCTCTTTAGGTAATTCTTCAGTCTTAGTTACTTCTGTGAGAAACAACATATTCCTTAGATAGATTAGTATAAAATTTACATAAATAGTCACCAAAAAACTCACCCTTTTCAATTTTAGCAGCTGGTGGAGGCACACTGCTTAAAGTATTAGAATCATCTTCATTATCAGAAGATTCAACTGCTTCTAGTTTCTTCTTATTTTTAGCTGCAAGACAATAATCTTTTCAAAAACCTACTACAGTAAAATGCCACTAATTCCTTTTACCACACTTTCTATGTCACAAATTTTGTAACCTTCCAATATGGCAGTTCATTTGACGTATAATCCAGAAGTAATAAGTGAAATTCTGAATATATATTTTTTTACATTCACATAGAAGAGTTAGTCAATTGGGATTCTTCTTTGATTTCAAATCAATGTTACTTACATCAATGTGAACTAGCTATGTATGTGTTAAAGATTACAAACAAATAATTAGTACTAACATAATTATAAATTGAATAACTCACATTTCTTCTTAGTAACGGGTTTCACAACTTCTTCATCTGAGAGTTCTTTTAGTTCCACATCACTGCCATTATCAGACCAGTCATCATTCTTCTTTCCTTTACCTTTAAAATGTAACTTATTTAAATATTCTGCATTTTTACCCTATGGTTACCTATGTAATGACATAATATTTATTGCATTTCTATTGCAAAACAACAAACACAAAAATTTTCTGTTCCATTTAATTTAGAAACTGCCATTTGTTTTTAAAATATGTATCCAATTATTATTCAATGTTTATTCATGGTTAGAAATATAAAAATTTAAACATGTAATCATATTTTTGAAACCAATAGATGGTACATATTTATGAAGTCCCATAGACAAATACATTAGCAAGAACAATAAAAGAATTTTGCAATTACATTATATGAATTTCAAATTATCTTCCACACTCAAAAATGGTTAAGCAAACCTTGCTGTAGATTTGTCTCTCTAAATCTACAATGAGAGAATGCCATGCAAGTCTTATTGCATTGATTTTTGTAAATACATCTTACTTCTTACTAACATTATTAATGTGAAAGTGTAGATGGATGGATGGATGTTTGTTATAGTTTGTAGCCTAAACTGCTGAACAGATCTGGATGAAAATTGGCATAGATCCCCTACATCTAGTAGTCTGGAAGAACTCATAGGCTACTCTGTTTTATTTTTTTTTATACTATGTAGACGGAGTCGCGGGCGGAAGCTAGTTAAATATATTGTAGGTTATTTACCACATTTAAAAATGTTAAATAATTTACTCAAGCAAACCTTTCAGTAAATTTGTTTATGTAAATCTACAATGAGAGAATGCAAGTCTTAGTGGATTATTGTGTTGGGCTTACCTTTTTTGCCTTTAACCTTAGAAGCTTGTTTACTTGATGTATTGCTGATTACTGATTTTGTATCATCATGATCCTCATCATCTGACTGTTCATCAACAGCTTTCTTTTTGTTCTTTGCTGAAATTTAGCAAACACACTTGCTTTTTTTACATATTAAGTGCACTGATCCTATGGGAGTAGGATAAGGTAGGGTAATCTACACATCTGATCATCATCACCAGCTCACTATACGTCACCACCGAGGGGCTCGGAGCCTACCCTAAAAAGGGGTGACTTGGTCATAGTCAACCACGCCAAGTGTGGGTTGGTTGACTTCACACATATCTTTGAAATTCTTTGCAGATATGTGCAGGTTGCCACATGATGTTTTCCTTCACCGTAAGAACGTCGGGTAAATTATGTACATATGAAAATTCGAAAACCGAAAATCACATTGATACATGGCGGGATTCGTACCCAAGACCTGTATAGATTACAAGTCAAGTGTTCAAACCACTGAGCCACCGACGCTCTGTTCAAACCACTGAGCTACCGACGCTTGACCCATCTGATAATGATATTAAATGAAATACAAGGCTATGAACATAAGTGATCAAAGTTACCCTTCAACCTTGTCTTTTCTGTTTATAATTTAGTTAAATCATGTATTAAAATAACAGCATTACTCATTTCAAGAAATTAAGAAAAGTTTTATAATTACCTTTCTTTTTACTAACAGGTTTTGGCGCTTCATCTTCTGAAACTTCCTTGAGATCTACATCACTGCCATCATCTGACCAATCATCTTTTTTACCCTTACCTAAAAAGTATCAAAATAATTTATCTACAAATTAAAATAAATCATACAAGTATTGTATTTAGGCCATGGATGTCATCAGCCAATCGTCTAGGGAGGATTGTGGGGGGCTTGGAGCTAACATTAATGTAGTCTAATTAAAAGTAGTCACAAACATTAGAAAAATGCATATTAGATATTAAATCTAATATGCATTTTTCTAATGTTTGTGTGGCTTCCCTACCCCTGTCCCCCACCTTGATGTCCATGATGCTAGCCAATGACAAAATACTAGTTACTTTCTTAAACCATGTCAAAGAATGCCATGTCACCAAGTTCTAGATTATAGATATCTATAACAGTATTAATTACACAACATTTTGTAACATTACTGCATGTTTTTAATTCTTATTTTTGTTGTAACATTTAATATAGGCTAAACAAGTAATAATAATTGGAATTACTAACCTTTTTTCTTTTTATTTTGTTTAGCAGTCTTTGATGTAGGATTTGTGGCCTTACTTTCTTCTTGTTCATCTTCAGAAACATCATCTTTCTTTTTGTTTTTACCTGAAATTTTTAAGGCAGTTAACTAACTTTGTAGATAAAATCAGTACCTAATCATTAAAAACAACTAACACTAACCCTTCTTTTGGGACTTTTTTGTTGAGTGTTTTAAGTCTTCTTCATTATCTGAAGCTATATTTTTCTTATTCGTATCCAGTTCTTCGTCGCTGATATTAGCATTTGTTTTACCTTTCTTTTTATTTTTACCTTTACCCTTTGAGGTTATATCATGCGATTCTTCCGACCGCTTGTCTTCAAAATCTTCATCCAGGTCTTGATTTTTCTTTGCTCCTTTTTTCTTAGACATGTTGGTATAATATTATATCTATACAAAGTATTACAATATGTTTATAATACTGCCACCTCATAAGAAAATTCAAGAACTAACCCTGTCGAAATTCTTATATTTCAATTTGACTTTGACAGCAAAGAGTTTGACAGTATGAGTGGAAATGACATTAAACCTCGCGTTGATAAACAAAATCTTACTTCCTAAATACGAAATTAAAATAATATAAAACTCTTGTTGGTTCATTATTGATTTTAAAAACAATGATAGACAGTATAGTAATCTTCGTATGACCTAGGGTTAGTGACAGAATGTATAGGAAGAATTTCCGTCCACCCCTATTTCGTCCACATATCTTCTTTTTCTTATTGGTCTATGTCCCCGAAATTGGGCAGAGAACGTCCACAGTGCGCCTTTCCACTGTGTTTGTTTCTTGAATCATATAAGTTCGGGCAAGCAGGCGATTAACCCACTGGGCCCTAGGCTGTTGGCGTAACTGCATCCTTGGAGTTCACAGCTAAACTAGGTTTGTTTCAGGTATCTTCCCTGGTAAGTGGTTCTGTTTTAAGCGCAGAAGATTTAGTAGACGTTATTACTTTATCTTCGAAGAACCGGCAATTCCATGTGTCACCCCTCACTATTCACGCTCTTATTCACTTCAGAGTGACGCACGGCCCGCTATCCGCTATCCGCATTAGCTGTGTGCTTTCCTATAATGGTTTTTGTTAAATGTTATTAATTCTATTAACAATATTCTCAGGTTCATAACAACAACAACCGACAACCAACCGATTCACATCTAAAACACCATAACTGTGTCAATTTATTATGGAGAGGTGCAATTGTATCTTACACCAAGTCCAAGTTGGTTAGGAACTTGGACTTGGTGTAACTTGAACTGATCTCTGTATAGAGGTCGGTGGTGAGGAAGCAAACGTATAGCATTTTTATGCCTTCATAGAGAATTTATTGTTCATTTCAAAATAAGACTGGTTTGATGACTGTATGTGCTAATATTAAAAAAAAAGAAATTACGAGAAAAGAAGTGAAAACAGAATTTCAAATCTATTCGTATAATTCTTACTAGTTTTCCTTAATTATAATGTTAAAAGAAGTTATTCCATTACGTTTATTAGTATTTATTTTATTTCTTCTAAACTACACAGACGTTTGTTCTAGTGAAAATGTGAAAAAAAGCGTGTACGAAAATAGAGACGACAACGGAGATTCAAACGATGACGGCAAAGATGAATCCATGGATCTTCCTTATGAAGCCGATCAAAACAACGTTACATGTACCAGAAGACATAATAGCCAAATGCACGAGGTACGATCTGCATATGCTAAACAATTTCCTTTCATGGCCGCTATAATGTCTCAGCAGAATGAATACTTGTGCTCGGGTGCCGTCGTATCTAACGGTCTTGTTATTACGTCTGCTCAGTGTATTCAGAAGCCAATAAACTATATCTTACTCAATGCAACTGAAGCTAAAAGAGATAATACATCTGCTGTTCTTCTGCATATAATAAAAAGCGAAAAATTTCCAACATATTCTGGAGCTGGAGCAGGAAAGGATGTCGGTCTAATATATACTGAGAAGCATAACACATCATTTGTTACGAAACTTGGCTTGAGTAATATGACTACTGGAGACCAACTCACAGACGTAGAAGCTTTCGGATTTGGTTTAAATACTGATTCTGGCCTTGCAAAGGAGTTACAGTTTGTTGGCTTAGAACGGCGAACACCGTCTAACGAACACTATTTTAGTGCTTACCTTGATTGTGTTGAAACCAAAGTACTGACCTGTTTCAAAGATATTGGTGGACCAGTGATTTTTGATCATCAACTTGTTGGCGTGGTTGTCAAAGGTCAAAGTGATTGTACTAGAGAAATTACATCACGTTATTCTATTAACAAATTTATGATTGATTTTCTACCAATTTACGCTTTTAGAGCATGGCTGAGTGAAAGAATTAAAAAGAACGAAGAACATGAATTGGTAGCCATGCAAATATATCCCGCGAAGCCGATTCTTCGGCAGGTGGCTCATGTATTGACTAGCACCAATAGAAATTCGGCTCAGAGATGGCCGTTGAATGTTATTCTTTTATATTTAGTAACCATTGTAACTTACATTTAAATTTAGATTGGTTCTTTGAAATTTTGCATTCATAGTGCTTTAATAAATTCTTCAATATGTTTCCGATATTTAGCTTTTCCATATCATAACTGGTAAAATTAGTATTTCTTTTTAAACTAAGCTACGTACATCGTTATCAGTAAATAAATATTCTCCACCCTGGTGGAAGATATTGATTGATTGACTATTCAAATTATAGATCCCTAGATGATGACTGTGCAAATAATGTTGATTTAGTACGGTCCGGTTTATTCCACTCATATGTTCAAGTTTCTAAGTTTAACTTTCTAGTATGTTCATGATATAAAGGCAAGGCATCACAGAAAAAACCTTATTCTTAATAGTATGAATTCACAAAAGATGGGTGGATGGACCGATGAATAAATGGATGTTAGAAGATATCTCCGGAACTTAACAGATTTTATTAAAACATGACACAGATGTAGAGCATGGTCTGGAAGATCACAAGCTTCTAAGTTTAAGTTTAAGGACAAAGTCGCGGTGATAACCTAGTATGCTATTTAAATCGGAGATTAAAAGGAACTGACCTCTATAAATGGATAGGATGTGACATTTTATGCCTATTTAATTTTCACCTTATTGCCGCGGAAAGTCGCGGTTTGTAGTATTTGTCGAAAATTTGAGAATAGCGATAGCGAATTATTAAATAAAAAAAATAGTGCGTTTATAAGTCGCAATGATACTACAGCTGTCATTTTCAGGCAAAGACCTTTCTATCTCAACAGATCAGTGGCACAAGGTCAAATGATCTGCCAACTGCCAATGTCAATGTTATTGTTACGTCACATGTAGAATGATTTGATTGAGATTTATTTTTATATTCTAAATTAATTTACAAGGACTATATGAAATTAAACTTTTAGAATTAACTTTTTAAACAATTAGCAAAAACACTAATTAGCATTTATAATGGTGAGGTATGGATACCAGAATATCAACGATGGAACTCCAAGAAGAGAAAGGAACCGAATTAATATGTCCTCATCGATTGAAGATGACGAGGATATTGATGAAGTTGATAACGTTCAAAGGTAAATTACGTTCCGTTAACCCCTACTAATACATAGTCCAACCACTATTATAATTATAATCTTGTTTACTAAATTTGTTTGTTATTTGAACTTTTAGCAGATATGTTATACCCGAAGGAATGAGATATACCAATTCCAACTGTGATGACTGTACTGAAGAGGAAGAGACAGACAGAGAGTAAGCAATTCAAATTTATTATTTTCCAAGCAATTTGTATTATTATTACAATTGAAAAAGTGTATGACAAGTCAGATAAAATTACAAAATTAAATATTTGTTTATTGTAATAATGAAAAGTAACTTTAGAACCATGCTAAGGTAACCACCAGAGGACTGAATATTCATTTACTGAAAATCTGTTTGGTCATATACATAGACATCACCAGGAGCAGGTGCCCCATTGAGAGATTCAATATATATATATATA